AAACCTTGTAAAAGGAGGCCTCCACCACCTCTCAAATTCTAATCCTAGTGATAACTTTGTAAAACTCACGTACAGTGTGTAATACTCTCTTCTCTATTAGTACTAATTCTTTGTATATATGTACAAGAAGAAAGAAGCCATCAGGAATGTGAGCAAGGTGTATCTATATGAATGCTTATGCACTTCTTTATTTACGTGTTTATGAGCAACAGGACAGCGACATGGTGATATCATCTTCCTTAGGACATGGTTGAAGGGGACCCCACCTACGAACATCTGGGTTGTATAGTGGAGCCAATACTCATATGTGGGGAGGAAATAGACTTTACAACAGTGCCTAACACGCCTCTGAACTTCAAAGCCCAGTTTTCTAACTTTTATCAAATATATATATATATATTAGTACTAATTCTTTGTATATATGTACAAGAAGAAAGAAGCCATCAGGAATGTGAGCAAGGTGTATCTATATGAATGCTTATGCACTTCTTTATTTACGTGTTTATGAGCAACAGGACAGCGACATGGTGATATCATCTTCCTTAGGACATGGTTGAAGGGGACCCCACCTACGAACATCTGGGTTGTATAGTGGAGCCAATACTCATATGTGGGGAGGAAATAGACTTTACAACAGTGCCTAACACGCCTCTGAACTTCAAAGCCCAGTTTTCTAACTTTTATCAAATATATATATATATATATATATATATATATATATATATATATATTTAAATATGTGTTCTTCATTTTACTTATTGAAGTTATGCTATTTTTCTTTTCATTGTTCTATAAATTCTAAACTTTGTTAATTGTAACTTTTAAAATCATGTTTATATTAAAAGCCATCTATATATTCCTTCATTTTATAATTATATGTAGATGGATGTGTCCTTATTACTGTATTTTCATTTTCTTGATTTGTGTTCATGTTGTAAAATTTAATCTTTGAATGTTATTTAATATATTGAATGCTAAATTCTGTATGTATTGAGTGATATGCTATGTAATAAAAGATACACATTCCCCAACATAATCTTCTAGGTGCAATCTTATTTACTAGGTTTAAGATATGGTAAAAGTCAACCATTGGTACTTTGTTACCATTATGGCTGTGGGAGAATTTAGCTAAAAACATTGTTAATCCCGGCTTTGGATGATCTTGCTTGTAGGATTGTATAACAAATTCAATTTGAGTAATCAATGTGTGGAATTAATACAAGTTGAACATGCTTACTTTTCATGTCATAAAAGCCCATTGGTTGTTTGTTGCATGGAAATATCAGTAATATAGCTCAAGCTTTTGAGAAACCCCTCTAATGGCTAGTCAAATGACGACTCTTTCATGGCTTATCGTCGTCAGCCTTACCTGTACTCTGCTTATTATCTGCATTGGAGCATCTGATGTAGATCAAAAGTCATTTATATATATATATATAAACACATTATGGTTAATATTGCTTTTAAAGTTTTTATAGCTGATAGAATTAGTTAGAACTGATCATTTTGTGGCGCAGGTATACATTGTGTACATGGGTGACCTTCCCAAGGGTAATGTCTCTGCATCATCGAATCATATGAGAATGCTGAAGGAAGTTGTTGGAAGGTCACTCCCTATACTTGTATAGATGTGTCTATAGTATATACCATATGTTAACATGTCAAAATGTATTAGATAATATGATCTCAAGTGGTGCTCTGCAATGCAGTAATCACAAAATTGAACATGATCAATGCAATTTGTTGTTGCATTTGCATTGACTCGTACTAACACAAAAAGTTAAACATGAAGTAAAAATAAAACAAAGCTCGCCTTCTTACCAGTGAGTAGGAACCTCTTCCTCACCACTGATTTGGCATAATAATAGAATAACACGTGTCCATTTTTAAATTAAAAATAAAAGAGGGAGGAAGTTAAGATTTTTTTTTTATTTTTTTTTCTTTGATATTAACTAACTTCTTTATAACTGGATGGATTCAACAGTAGGGCATCAGAGTCTTTACTCTATAGCTACAAGAGGAGCTTTAATGGATTTGTAGCAAAACTTACAAAGGAAGAGAAGGAAAAAATAGCAAGTGGGTGATTTATAATTTCAACTAGTTACTTAATCTATCCCATGCATGATTTGTTTGTCCTCCACTTCCACTCTTAACTCTGCTTTTAACTTCCATAAAATTCAGGCATGGCGGGAGTAGTGTCTGTGTTCCCTAATGAAAAGAAGAAACTCCACACAACAAGGTCATGGGACTTCATGGGCTTCCCTCATGGAGTTAAAAGACGCGCTCATGAAAGCGACATCATTATTGGAATACTTGACAGTGGGATTTGGCCTGAATCTCATAGTTTCAATGACACAGGATATGGTCCACCTCGAAGAGAATGGAAGGGCTCTTGCCAATCCTCAACAAATTTCACTTGCAACAAGTACATACCAATTACATACCAATAAATTGCATTAATGGATATAGTAATTGCTTGTGCTGCCACTAAAAATTTGAACACTTTTGCAGGAAAATAATAGGAGCTAAAACCTACAATACTGTAGGATCAATACCTCAGGGAGATTTTGATTCACCAAGAGATTTAAATGGTCATGGGACACACACTGCATCTACAGCAGCGGGGAGCTTAGTCAGCCGCGCAAGCTTATTAGGCCTGGGCTTGGGTACAGCCCGGGGAGGGGTTCCTTCAGCTTGCATTGCTGTGTACAAGGTATGTTGGGCTGATGGTACTCGTTCAACTGCGGATATCCTTGCAGCATTTGATGATGCAATTGCTGATGGAGTTGATATAATATCAATTTCGGTTGGGGGTTCCACTGCATGGGATTACTTTAATGATCCCATTGCCATTGGAGCTTTCCATTCTATGAAGAAGGGAGTCCTCACATCCAATTCTGCCGGTAATGATGGTCCTTATCCGGAAACCATCTCAAATTTCTCACCATGGTCTCTCTCAGTGGCTGCTAGCACCATTGACAGAAAGTTTGGGACAATGGTGCTGTTGGGCAACAATAAGTCTTATCAGGTGAGCAAGCATGTCCTCTTCGCTTGCATATCTCTATATATTTTCACAATTCATGACCTTCCCGGCCATTATAGTTGTATCTGTTGGCCTCTACCTTACATTGGCCTCTACCGTTCAAATGAACCTTGTTATATAGTTCTGGACTCTTTTTACATTTAGGGAGTCTCTATAAATACTTTCGAGCTCGAGAAACAGTACCCTCTAGTTTACGGCAGGGATATACCCAATACTGGTTTTGATGGATCCACATCCAGGTAAGGAAGAAAAAGGAAAATGTCGATCAGAAAGTTAAAGATTTATTATATATCAATGATGATATTAATGAAAATCAAGCTTAATTATGTAGTTATGTGCTTTGATTATAGATAATTGAGTATGGAAAATGCATAAAAGAATGATCATGAAATGCAGGTACTGCATCTCAGACTCATTGAAGACGCGGGTGGAATTGGTACCATAATGAATGATGATGAAGGCAGTAAAGATTTTGCCTTTTCTTTTCCTTTGCCTGTATCCTACTTGGGCTCTAAAGATGGCCGTGGTGTTTACCATTGCATAAATTCAACTCGGTATATAGATTTCTGGACAATATTAATTTCTCTTGACACTTTATTTGATCACAACACAATTAACAATTTGGATAAAATTTACTCTACAGTAAGCCAACTGCAACTATAAAGAAAAGCATCGAAGCTGAAAACAAATTGGCTCCATATGTAGCTTCATTTTCATCAAGAGGGGCAAACCCAATTACAAGTGACATTCTCAAGGTATCTTATACACATACATACAGATATGTTGAAAATATTAAAGTTAAAATGGTATCAGAGTAGGAAATATATTGTGTTCGAAGATAACTAAAATTAAAACACGCGTTGGACTAAAAGAAGGCCACACGTGAGGGCTTGAGAGTAGATGGTGGTTAACTATATATATATATATACACATACAAGTATGTTCTGGTTTTAAATTTGGCACACTTTGTTCATGTGCAGCCTGATTTAACTGCTCCAGGAGTGGACATTGTTACTGCATGGTTACAGGCTACCACTGTCACTGGAATAGAGGGAGACAAAAGAGTAGTTCCATACGATATAATTTCCGGCACATCCATGTCTTGCCCACATGCTACCGGAGCAGTTGCTTATGTGAAATCTTTTAGCCCTGGATGGTCCCCTGCTACTATTAAGTCTGCTCTGATGACAACTAGTAATTAAATAACTCGTAATTTTCTTAAGGGATTTTAGTAAGCAACTCCAAACAAAAAGAAATAAAAAATTACTCAAGACCTTTGTTGTTATGTATTGGAATACATCCATTATTTGTAGCTAATATGCCCCTGCTTCTTTTGTTCTTTGCAACTCGTCCAATGAGCAATGTCACTAACCCTGATGCTGAGTTTGCATACGGGACAGGTCATATTGATCCATTAAAAGCTGCAAAAACTGGTTTAGTCTATGATGCCAGAGAGACTGACTATGTGAATCTTTTATGTGGACAAGGTTATAGCAGCAAGTTATTACGACTCGTCACTGGAGACAATAACAGTTGCTCTAAAGCCAACAATGGGACCGTTTGGGAACTAAATTATCCTTCCTTTGGTCTATCTTTCTAGTCTGAAAACCCCATCACCCGTATCTTCCACAGGACCGTCACAAATGTTGGTTCGCCAGTGAATGCTTACAAAGCAACTGTGGTAGCCCCTGCGCGACTTCAAATCCATGTCAGGCCGAGTGTCCTTAAATTCAAGAAACTAGGTGAGAAGCAATCCTTTGTGGTAACAGTCACAGCGAAACCACATAAGAATGTACTCTCTGGGTCATTGGTGTGGGATAATGGGGTGTCTAAAGTGAGGAGCCCCATTGTGGCACATTAAAATTTATATATGCTGGCAGAATAAATTTTTGTGTATGAATATGTTGTTTCCTTCAATATGCAATAAGACAGAAGCATGGTGTGTTTTGGATCACAATAAAGAAAACTGCCTCCTTTATTCATAGATAGCGAGCCAGTTGGCTTCCGAGTACAATGTTATAAAAGCACAATGGATTAATCAAACAAATGTGAATAAGATTAGAATGAAAATATGTAATTAACCAAGCTCTCTAGGGATTGGTATGAAGAGCCACCTTCCCTTAGACAAAGATCTGCCTTTTCCTTCAAACACATTATTCTCTCTCTCATCTCTTCCCCTTCGCTCTCCATTAGTTTTCTGATTGCTCTTTCCACATCAACTCTTTCCAACCCATTCTCCAATTGCACCCCGACTCTCCAAACATCGCTTGCATATCTTGCACTCACCATTTGGTCATTGGAACGAGGGGAACAGATCATCGGAACTCCTTCACAAATGCTCTCCAACGTTGAATTCCATCCGCTGTGAGTCCAAAAGCCTCCTGTGGCCGGATGAGCCAGCACTTCTTGTTGGGGAGCCCATTTCACAATATGTCCCCTTCCACTCACAGCCTCCAGGAACCCATTTCGCAGTGGTTCAAGCCATTCTGAGCCACGTATTAGTCCTGGTCGAACCACCCACAAAAACGGCTGCATGCTGTTGGCTAGTCCCCAAGCCATCTCCAAGAATTCAGTTTCATCAAATGTTGCAAGACTCCCAAAGCTCACATATATTACTGACTTGGGTGATTGTGTGTCTAACCAAGAAATGGAGCTTGGGTCTTGTGCTAATAAGCTACTTGAGGAGGCTGGAAAGTATTTATGAAATGGGCCTATAGGGAAGAGTGGGACGATAGAACGTCCGCGAAGTGTGGCCAGTGCTGGTTGTTCAAGTTCTTCGAAGGAGTTCCAAATGAATCCGGAAGAACCCTTGTTTGCTTTTACCATGCCATCTATTAGCATATATAAATCATCCTCTGGGTTTGCTATGTCCATCGTCGGAAAGTCTTTAATTTTTAGTGGAGGAAGCGCTTCAACTGGTTCTTCTGTTTGTGAATCTGAGAAGATCACTAGGTGAATATGAATTATTCTGTGTAATCCTATTGTCTCTTCAAAGTCAACCAAAAAAAAAAAAAAAATTAAAATTTATCTTTTACCAATGGGACCTTTTTTATTTTTATTTTATTTTATTTTATTTTTTTTACACTCTTCGTATCAAAAGAAAGCTTCATCTTTAACAGACTTCCACTAATATGAGATTGAAGTCTTCTTCAGTTCCTATGTTGTGTGTATATTTTTTTGGGGGAAGTAAAAAAATAAAATATTTGTTGTAAATCAATATAAAGAATTAAAAAAAGAAAAAGAAAAAAAAAAAGACAAGATCAGAACCAGTCACTGTGTTGGAATCAACCAGAAATTAAGAAAGAAACATCGATCAAAGTGCTAAATTGGGTAATTAACAAAATAAATAAATAAAATAATAGTACCATTTAAGAAAATTCATGTATTAAAATTTATGAAAATTCAGTTTCCTTTATTGAAAATCCATTTGATAGATGAAAAGAATTCAAGCAGAATTCAATAATTGAGTGTTTGATATGAAACATAAGTAAAAAAACAGAGTTAGGAATGCACCTTGCTTTGGGAGGAAACCCTTCTCCCTCAGAAACGGATGGGCAGCAAAAGCAAGAAAGGAAATATTACCGCTATGTAACACGAGCCTAGGGAGCTTAAGGCCATCAGCAACAGCTTGAGTGAAGTGCCAGATAGCATCTGTGATTAAGCAAGCAATGGGCTCCTCCGAAACACTAGACAACAACTGAACCAAGCAATCACGAAAGGGGGCCACGCAGTTGACGTTGAGGAGTGTTAACAAATCTCTGCCACGTTCTGTGGAAGGCGGGGTTTCCAGCAAGCCATCGGAAATGGGGCGGAAGGTGAAGTGTGGGTATTTGGAAGGATTGAGAGAGTTGTATTGGGTGTGAATTACAGTGATATTGAAACCTCTGGAGTGGAGGATGTTTGCTAGCTGAAGCATGGGGTTTATGTGGCCTTGCAAGGGTAGTGGGAAGACTACCAATCCGCGACCCGCCATCTGCTGCATTCGGGTCTCTGTTGAGACCTCCATCAACCTCGGTTTTAAATTGAAGAACATGTCTGAGTCCTGCCATGAGGATTGAGGCAGTTTCACATAAAGCTACAATAATTTTATCTATCTTGAATTATTGGAGTCACACATAAAGCTCCAATAATTGAGTCCGTGTCAGCGGACAAACAGACACGTTAATGTGTTTTTTAATGATTCATGTGGGGGGCCGTGTAGAATTATCTTTTTCAATGATTCAGGATGTGGGTGGGGTGTGGAATTATTCGGAGTCCTGGCCAAGCGTTCAGAGTAAGGGTTGGCATATTTTTTACTTTTGTCTTTACAAAGATGAGAAAGAGAATAGGAATTATAAACAATTACTTCTATTTGACTTATGTATTAGTGTTTGGAAATTATATTTTAGAAGAACTTGTAATGTTGAAAGAGTTTTTTTTTGCCTGTTTGGCAAAACATTTTTTAAAATTTTTTACTATCTAAATAATTATTTTACCCTAAGATGGGGTGAATGTATATTTAAAAAAAATTATTTAGCGACATAAAGTAGTTATATTATTTTACATAACACTATTTCCTAAACACCCTAATAACCCATTCAACATAATTTAATTATCAGAAATGCCTTATATAAGAACAATAACTTTGTAATGTCGGTAAGTTATAAAGAAAAAAAAAAAAAAAAAAAAAAAAAGGGGTAGGACCCACAACTTTTGTAAAGTGGTCATAAGACCACGTTTTTTTTTTTTTCGTTTTTTCTTGTTCTCTGTTTTCTTCTCTCCCGCGGCCTCTCTGTTCCTCTTTATTTTATTTTTTCTTTTACAACTTCAAATCTTGATTGCTCTCTCAATCCTTGATAGATTTGAGAGCCGTTTGAGGCAAAACGACGAGCACAGCGAGCTCTACGTGCTAGTACCAGAAATTCCAGCTTTTGGTTCTCTTTAGGAGCTCGAATTTAAGAACCCAGTTCTAGGGATTTTGCTCATTTTGAGGTAGGGACATCTTAATCCACTCCTTTCTTATTCTATTGTGAATTACACCTCCTTGTTGTGTCAAACATGTTTAATTGGGAATTAATTGTATCTATGATTGTATGAATGATGTCTAGAGAATTTTCAAGAGCTTGATTATGACTTGTTGCATGTGTAAAATATGTTTAGATGTTGCTTTATCATGCCCTCTATGTGTTAACATGCTGAAAATTACAAATGAGAACATGTTTATTTAGATTGTACCAAATTTCCCATTGTCATAATATTGAGATTATATGTACATCAATGCACATGTCATTGGGATGCATGAAATGGGAGAATTTGTCTTGAAATGAAAATGGGGAAAATTTTGGGAGAAGAGTTTTGTCAAATAGTTTTGATAAACCCGGTTGCTACGGGGTTACCAACGGGCCGGAGGTTAATATAGCCTAGAGGGGACTAGGGAGTCGCCCTAGCGTGGTTGAGCTATTCGGGCCCCTCGATGACGCTGTGGGGTTACCAAAGGTCTAGGGACGATAGCCAATCCTCCTCTCGTGTCGCGGGGGGGTTACCAAAGGGCGGACTGTATTAACATTTGAAAGTGATGGTTTTGTGAATGAAAATGGGGAGTGATATTAGCATGCATTGCATTTCATTGCACTGCATGGTTTATAATTGGAATTGACGTGCATATTGTTTTAATTCCCTATATTGCATGATCCCTATTTTCCATTGGCCTATGCTTTGTTTGGATTCACAAGGACACAAGAATTGTGTCTTAAGTGTCACCTACTAAGCTTTATGCTCACTTTACTATTTATATTATTTTTTTCAGGTCTTGGAAATGAACCGGTGGACGACAATCCACCTCAAGCTTGAAATTTGTTAGAAGGTTGTTTGCTATTTTGTATTTTGACCGTTTTATGTATATTCATAGCTGTGGGGATGTAACTAAGTTAGTATTCATGGCCTTGTAACTTACGAATGAACTTATCTTTTGTTTGATGTAAATGAAACTAATAGAATTATGGTATATGTTTCCATGCAATTGTATCATGTAACGTTGTAAGACAGGGACTTTAAATCTTAACTATGTATTTTGGGACTGTAATTATGTTAATTTAGATTAATTGGTGTGTGAATGTTCCACCATGAGAGGAACTATGTTGAGGTATAATGAATGGATGAATAGGATGCTGGATGATTTTATGTGTTTTGTGTATTGGGACAGGTTGTTGAAAGCCCATTTTTAGGGGAGGTTCTGCCGATTTTTTTTTTAAATTTTGGCATCAGCTAGGGTCGTTACAAATTTGGTATCAGAGCGATGGTTCGAATACCATTAGGACGATGGGTAGAGGCTTACCTAGGGTTGTCTGGGAAGTCATTTGCATTGTTATTTCCTTGTTTGGAAAAGTGTTTTGCTATGTGAAAAAACATGCTTAACTACTTACTTGCTTACGTGCTTATGTGTTTATATGCCTATATTAATGTGTTCATTGCATAGTATTACATGCTAAATGTTTGTATAGTATCTTTTGCGTTGGGTTGTTCACGGTTGGACCTTAGTGTTATCGTTATTGAATTGTTTCCTTTGTTTTATAGAACGATGTCACGGCATGAGGAAATCAGGGAAGTTGGCCCTAGATTGACTAGGGGTGATGTTGGCGAGAGCTCCAGCTCCAATCCGGAGGAGCTAAATGATGAGGACACACTTCTTAGGGACTTAATTCCCCCGAGAGTTGTCCCCACAAGGAGGGATAATGTTGAAGCACCCGTAGAAATGGGTGAAGGTTCTGTGGCACTGGAGTTGAATCGTTTGTTACAAAATGTCGTGAGGGCAACGATTGCTGCTCAGTCACAGTCGGCACTACAACCTACAGTTCAAGTTGAGGAGACGCCAGCTCAGAAGCGTCTCAAGATTATTAAGGGGTTTTCTCAGTTGATGCCGGTTATGTTTGAGGGCGGTGCGGATCCAATGATAGCAGATGACTACATGGAGCAAGTTAAAACTCAATTGATTTCAATGGATGTGATGGAGGATCATTTGAAGATCATCCTAGCTACTTATAAGTTTGCTAAGGATGCCAAATTATGGTAGAAGTCGGTTACGAGCCGGTACAAGGTGGAGGAGATGAATTGGGACAAGTTTAAGGAATTATTTTATGAAAAGTACTTTCCGCTTTCCAAAAGATGGGAGTTACAAGACCAGTTTCATAACCTTATCCAAGGGAGCATGTCAGTGGCAGAATATGAAAACAAGTTCACATCACTTTCTCGCTTTGCTCCAGAAATGGTGAGAGATGAAGTTAACAAGACTCGAAAGTTTGTTTTTGGTCTTAATGATCGGATGAGGCCGTTGATCACGGCACAGTTCATCAAGGTATATGCTGAATCAGTGGAAAGGGCTTTAATGTTAGAAGCGGATAACAGAGATAAGGATGCGAGAAGGGAACAGTGGAAGCAGAAGAGGGGTGCAAGGCCATCCTCAGAAGGATCTTCTTGGAAGAAAAACAAGGGTGGTTCATTTCAGCTTCAGGGGCAACAATTTACACGATCTGTTCCTACCACTCCTATGCCAGTTGGATCTGACAAGGGTGGAGTTGTTTATTATCAATGTCAGCAGCCTGGGCATTACAAGTCCAGTTGTCCTTTGAGATTGACTTCAGTTTCTTCAGTTCCGAAGGCTTGTTATGGGTGTGGCCAGCAGGGCCATTTGATTCAGGACAGTCCGAGTCAGGGAACAGGCATCACTAGTGGCAGAGGGTCACGGTAGAGGCCGTCACAGTCGGCTACGGTTCAATTAGGTTTCAGACCACCGCCACCACCACAGCCTGCCTTGTCTTCTCAGGGTTCACGACCAGCTAGAAGGGATACTCTTACTGTATCGGCACAACAGTCTGGTGTTCAGATTAGTAGTTCACAGGCATAGGCACCACAGGGGCGTGTCTTTGCCCTTGCACCGACTGATGCATCTCCTGGATCTTTAGTTCTCCGAGGTATATTTCCAATGTTTGGTTCTTAGGCCCGTGTTTTGTTTGATTCTGGTGCATCTCATTATTTTATTTCATCATCATTTGCACTTGCATCGGGTTAGAGGTCAGTTTTATGGATCGGGCGTTGTGTGTTGATACGCCAGTTGGAGTTTCAGTGTCTTTGAGCCAAGTCGTGAGGGACTGTTCCATTGTGATAGCTGGGCGGACTTTTGTGTTTGACCTTATCCTCCTGGAGATGACTAGCTTTGATGTCATTCTCAGGATGGATTGGTTAGCTTCCTTTCATGCCACGATCGACTGTTTCAGAGGAAGGGTTATAGTTTGCACTCCCGAGGGAGACTGTTTCTTTTTCGTGGGAGATCGGAGTGATTCCCACATTTCATCGTTTTATGGAATTTGTGGACAGAGTCGTGGTGATTACTTTTTGGCTAGCCTTATAGCCGAAGAGGATGATGTTGTGGAAGAATATTATCCTGCAGTTGTTTGTGATTTTCTGGATGTGTTTCCGAAGGATTTGACAGAGTTGCCTCCACACCGAGAAGTGGAGTTTTCTATTGAGTTAATGCCAGGTACCGCGCCGATTTTTATGGCACCGTATCGTATGGCACCAGTTGAATTGGAGGAATTAAAAAGACAGCTTGATGATTTGAGGATGAAAGGTTTCATCTGACCGAGTGTGTCACCATGGGGCGCACCAGTCTTGTTTGCTAAGAAGAAAGATGGTTCTTTGAGGTTGTGCATCGATTATCAAAAGTTGAATCGTGCCACCATCAAGAACAAGTATCCTTTGCCAAGGATAGATGATTTATTTGATCAGTTGAGGGGAGCCAGTTGTTTCTCCAAGATTGACTTGAGGTCTGGCTATTATCAGTTGCGGGTTAGGGATGAGGATATCCCGAAGACATCATTCCGTACACGGTATGGACACTATGAGTTCCTTGTTATGCTTTTTGGCTTGACTAATACTCCAGCGGCATTCATGGACCTAATGAACTGCGTCTTTCACGATTACTTAGACCAGTTTGTGGTAGTTTTCGTGGATGATATTCTTGTGTATTCACGATCTTGGGAGGAGCACGAGATCCATTTAAGTATTGTTTTACAAATTTTACAGGAGCACCGGTTGTATGCCAAA